ATGAAGGCTTATTCCTGCCACGTGCATGTGCTAAATTCTTTTCGTGTGTGACAGCTGGCTGTGAAATGTGAGTGTTAACCTTATAAAAGATTCAGCGGATTCTCATTATATGGTGTCAACGCAGCTACCTGATGGCATTTGCATCGCTGACTGGTCTGGGTGCACGGGCCACGGATCCCTCCCCAGTTCCAGAGTGTGAGTGTGTGTGTGTGTGTGTGTGTGCATATGTGTATTTGTGACTGTTTGTTTGTCTAGGAATCATTTTTTCCCTTTTTTTTTTTACATACGAAAGACGTGCCTCGCTCCGTGTTCCAAAAACGATAGAGATGCCAAAGTTTACTCAAAGGCGACATGTTTTTTTTTCTTTTTTTCCCTGACTACAAAACTAGATGTTTACTCAACACCTGTGCGCAATTTGGAGGGTAAATAAGAGAGATGTGTGGCGCAGACAAAGGCCTCAGCAGGAGAGGGGATGAGGGAGAGCCAGGTACAATGTAAGGTGTTATAGGAGCATGTTCAGGGATAAATAATTTAAATTGGTTACATTACACGGCCTATAAGACAGACTGTAGGCAGGATGCTACAGGGAAGTTACGTTATATAACTTAAAGTAGTACTAGAATTTAATATGCTGCTATCCAGAATATATAACTACAATATGTGTTTATAATATTTCGGGTGTTCATTTTGACATGTTCAGATGAATTATGTTAAAAAAACGGCTTTGAAGTGGCACCTTATAACAAACGCTAGGGGGAGCCAAAATGGCGGCGATGACGTAGGAGAAGGGCATCTCACAGCAGCAGACAGCAGTCTGGTTGGAAACTGTAGGAGGTTTCACTGTCATCTGAACAAGGTATAAACCTATTTTCAGCAGTTTTGTACATAATAGTGTGCAACTCTTTTAACCTTTTAGCCTTATTTGTGAGATTCAAGCTAATAAGTGTTGGGCAAGTTAGCTAACTCTACTTGATATCATAAAACATGCTAACAAGGCTAATATTCGTGTTTACATTATGCCAGTCTCACTTTGGTTGCCTTAGATTTATTTACCACAATGTACATTGTAATATCCATAAATGCTAATCAAAATAACTTGAATTAAATAAATATTTTACTTTTATGAACAAAAAGCTGCAGAAGTTGAAAACATAGACTACATGTGATGCAATCATTGATAAAAATGCTAATTAAACCGTAAATAGGTGTTAGCATTTTTGAATATTACAATGTACATTGTGGTAAATAAATCTAAGGCAACCAAAGTGAGACTGGCATAATGTAAACACGAATATTAGCCTTGTTAGCAAGTTTTATGATATCAAGTAGAGTTAGCTAACTTGCCCAACACTAATTAGCTTGAATCTCACAAATAAGGCTAAAAGGTTAAAAGAGTTGCACACTATTATGTACAAAACGGATGAAAATATGTTTATACCTTGTTCAGATGACAGTGAAACCTCCTACAGATTCAGCCCAGACTGCTGTCTGCTGCTGTGAGAGGTCATTCTCCTACGTCATCGCCGCCATTTTGGCGCCCCTAGCGTTTCTATGCGGAAGTGAAAAGGTGCCACTTCAAAGCAGTTTTTTTAACATAATTCATCTGTGCATGTCAAAATGAACACCCAAAATATTATTATTATTATTAGTTTATTTGATATGGACATATCAACTGCATTGGACAAACCAGATACATTGTTTCCAGTGTTATAGCAAAACTGCTAATTTGCAACACCTGTCCATAGGAGGCTACACATAACATATTGTAGTTATATATTCTGGATAGCAGCATATTAAATTCTAGTACTACTTTAAAGGAGATGTGTGTTGCTCTTTTGTGAGTTGTTGGTAACTAGTAAGTGCAGATTGTGGAGGAGTGAAGAGAAGTTTCTGTTTTGTGGCGAGACGAGGAAAAAAACTATCTCAAAATCTAACTGGAAAAAGGAACATAGACGGGCAAAGACAGACACTGACAACGAATCAGCAACAAGGGGAGAAGAGCACAGGTACACAGAGAGACACAGGTACATATAGACACAGAGAGACAGGTACATATTGACACAGAGAGACATAGGTACTTATAAACATGTGAGACACAGGTACATATAGACAGGTACATATAGACACAGAGAGACACGGGTACAGAGAGACACAGAGAGACACAGGTACATAGAAACAGAGAGACACGGGTACATATAGAAACAGAGAGACACAGGTACATATAGACACAGAGAGACACAGGTACATATAGAAACAGAGAGACACAGGTACATATAGAAACAGAGAGACTCAGGTACATATAGAAACAGAGAGACACAGGTACATATAGAAACAGAGAGACAGAGGTACATATAGACACAGAGACAGAGGTACATATAGACACAGAGACAGAGGTACATATAGACACAGAGAGACAGAGGTACATATAGACACAGGTACATAGACACAGGTACATATAGACAGAGACACAGGTACATATAGACACAGAGAGACAGAGGTACATAGACAGAGACACAGGTACATATAGACAGAGACACAGGTACATATAGACACAGAGAGACAAAGGTACATATAGACACTGGTACAGAGCGACACAGGTACATATAGACACTGGTACAGAGAGACACAGGTACATATAGACACAGGTGAGACGCCTCAGGGCAGGGCAGATAATCAACACGGGAACAGGACAGGACGTAAAACTAAACTAAAACCACAGAGAAATTCAGTCAAAATAAGAACAATTAACAAATAATCCACACCATGACACTTTCTTGTTTGAAATGACCTGAAATGGGACGGCCGCAGCCTTCCATCGCTGCAGGACCTGTACGTCGCCCGAGCTCGAGGCCGGGCTGGTCGTATCACAGCCGACCCCTCTCACCCTGCACATGGACTATTCCAACCACTCCCCTCAGGCAGGAGGCTGCGGTCCATCAGGACTAGAACCTCCCGCCACAAGAACAGTTTCTTCCCCTCTGCTGTTGGACTCTTGAACACTTCTTAACCTGTCCCCCCGCCCTTTATAAAGTCACTTTACTGCCGATCATGCGTCACTTTACTTCACTGTACTGCTGTCACCTTACATTGTGTGCACCATGTGCACTTGTATATTGTAAATAGTAACTGTAACTCTATTTTAAATTTAAATTTATTCTTTAGAAGTGTTTTTTATTCTTATTTTTATTATCTCTTTCTGACTGTTGCACTGAGCCAAAGCAATTTCCAAGTCTGTGACCTCCTGTTACTTACGTGGCAATAAAAATGATTGATTCTGAGGTCGTCGTGGATCAAGTCTAAATCTATTTTCGGACCGGACTACAGCAGTGAAGGCGATGGGTCTAAAGAGCAGATTAGTGGCTCACGGCTGTCAGCACTGAGAAGAAAACTTTGAACGATTTCTGCGGTGCATCTCCGGCCGAACAGCTCTTTAATGTGGATCGATAACGCTGTAATAAATATATTTACTGCTCCCCTGAACGTAGACGCTGAGGCCGTTCCTGTCTTAAACTTAGAGGTCCATGGAGAAACCCAGATTCACAAACAGCTACATTTCATCATTATTGGACAGACAAGAATCTGCTTTGACACGTTGGCAGGTGGAGGGAAAGGAAAGGATTTGGGGAGAGGATTTTTTTGGTCGGACACTGGCTGAAGTTTCTTGCCTCTATGGAAATGAGACAAACGGGGTGGTCAAACCGTTACTTAAAGCTAATAGATCCTTCATATTCAAGTTACTCTGCCATTTGTAGTAAATCCACATTGGAATACATGTGGGATAACGTATATTACGCTGGTCATTATTGGAAAATAAGTACCGACAGAACACACAAAATAAACTTAGTTCTACTTTTAGGAATGCCGAAAGGTTTATTTAATGAGAGAAAATAAAATAGTTCCCAAAGGTTTTCCCGTGGCTATGTGGGAGGCTAGCAACTTCCAAACTAGAACTCTCTCGAACTGCATGAAAACAGAACAAAGAATTCTGAACATCAGCGGAGAGTGACCCAAAGTTAAACTAAACCTAAATCCATAATTCGATCCCCTGCAAATGTTCCTAAAATGTTCCGGAGCGTACTTCCGGGTTTTTTTGCGATGGCTTTTTTTTTTGCATTAAAACAATATTTTTGTCATGAAAATGTTAACAGATAATTCTAAAAAACGGCATTTGTATTAAGAATGTATATGTATAATGTATTCTCCGATTAACATTTAATTGTGTTGATTGTTTGGTATTTGCGTTTATTGAGCGTGGCTAGCTCCAGAGTGGCCGGAACTACTTGCGGCGTAATCTGCACGAATGACCAACTCCTGTGACACGCCTGATGCCCTGTCGCCAAAACGCCCTAAATGAACCAGTGAAAAGAAAAGTGACCCCTGCATTTATCCGGCCCACGTCCCAAACTGAAAAGGCCTCCCCCCACTCCCCCCTTGGTCCCTCCCCCCCCCCCCCACCCCCCCCCCCCCCCCTCTCCCTCATGACTAATTCAGCGCGACATCACCGGAGAGGCTAAAGAGGCTGAGACAAAACCCCAAACAAAACATCAAATCGACCACGAAGCAGCAGCAGCAGCAGTGGAGCGGTGCGAGTGTGATTCTGAGAAGAAAAGTTCACACCCATTTTGTAACAGTTGCAACGAAGATGAGGTCGGATTTTGTGAGTGTATTTCTTAAAGTAATGTTTTATCGTGGACCAAGATGCAGTTTAGAACCTACTGGGAAAAGGACCCGACAAAACAACAAAAAAGTCCATTGAGTTGAGAATGTGGAAAATGCTTGAAATTTGAATAAAATAGAATGAATCTTATCAGACCAGATGCCGCGTTATGTAAGTAAGGTCTCTTTATTTATATAGCGCCTTTCACAGACCAGTCACAAAGGTACTTACAGTTGTTGTGGCCATTTGTCTGTCACTCGAGCTCGCCAGTAGTTTTTTAGTGCTAGGGGAAACCCGGAGGAAACCTACGCAGACACGAGGAGAACATACAAACTTTATCAGA